TATTTTGATCTTACTTGCATTTTTAGTAATTTGCCTGGTATCACCTGAACAAATGCATTAGCAATACTAGGTGTAAAGAGGGGTGAATGGGAAGGTCTACAAGTTTAAAAAAAAAAATTAATTAGGGGACTTGATTCAAGAAGACTGAGAACCCCTATAGTAAAAGCATGTTTTTTCAATTCTAGGTTTCTGACAACATGACTGGCTGAGTCTGAGATGCTCATGTAATTTCATGGAAGAAAACAGCTCATACTGTATTCTGTTTTAGAAATGCAAACTAGCAAACACTGAATAAAGGCAATCAATATAATTAAATTAGCAATAAACAATTTACAATTCAATTACGCTCTTTTTCAATCAATCAATCATTTGACATAACAAATGTTGGTATGCATTAGGAAGATGTTTCTTTAATACTGTTATGAGCAATGGCAACAGAACTTGTACTACGTGAGAATGATAGACATTTTGCAAGCCATTGACTTATTCTGTAGTATATAGTAAACTTTAACATGTAGACCAAAATATAATAAAAAATGAACTAAACTTTTCTTAAAATGGCCACTGAAATCAGTGTGTATTTATGTATTAAGATGTATATCACAATAGTTCAGTTGACACAGTAGCTGACAAAACGATGTCCTGAACAAAATGGTATTTGAATAAAAGGGTAGGATATAATATTAATTAAAATAATTCCATTAAGATCTTATTGGATCCAAATGACTATATTCAAGAAGCTGTCAATGGAATGGGCCTGGAGGAATACATAAATTCACATTGGTTTGTCTTAAAGTTTTCCTATTTTTATACACAAACAAGAATTTAAAAACAAAGACAGTAAGATAACATTAAAATTCGGACATAAAAGCAATCATCTTCAAACTAAACTTGCTACTCTGTTCCTCGGTTCACTTTGTTATGCTTACCTAATGCATTTATCATTAGTATGAGCTTAAAGTGCTACAATATACTTCGTACTACAATTACAGTTCAAACAGAAAAACCAAAGATGCCCTGACTTGGGGCCCTCCCTCAACCCTTCAATGAGAAAATTATTTTAACACTTTACTGTTAATTCTTAACTTTTGGTGGAGTCGTCATTGGTCATATTTTCGATACATATCAATCCTTCCGTTCACAAAATGCACATACATTTCTTAATCACAAGCTGCATCACAAAAATAATTTTTGCATTTGAAAAATGCAAGAAGTTACCTTATGTTCATTTGCAGCAATCCACTCTGCATCTTTTCTTTTCTTTTTCCCTTTTTTATCCTTATTCTGTTGAGTGGTTGATGCCTGGTAAGACTGCAGATCCACTCGTGAATGAAACTGGTATCTGCCACTTTCAACATCACAATAATAATAAATTCCAGTGGCTGGATCATAATAAAGTTGATTTTCCTTTAAAAAGAATACAAGTATAATGCATCTCAAACTGATTTATATACTGACTAGCAAAACATCAAATTAATAAAGAACTGTAAGTTCACAAAAATAGTATTTATATTTAGCACATTGATATATTACATATCTATACCAACAGTCATTGGACAAGAACACACACACAGTATGTAAAGGATCAGATAAAGGATGCAGAATAAAGCTGGACCTATGATCCCAATCCTGCAAACATCTATACACAGGCTCTATTTTACTTCCGCGTGAAGCCCCATGGGCTTCAAATTTTTGCAAGATTGGGGCCGATCAAATCATCATACACATTAACTCTACTAACAATAATACATTAGGAATAAGCATCCCTAAAAGCAGAGAAGTCTCAAAAGGGGTAGCTGTGTTGGTCTGTATCTGTAAAAGCAATGAGTCAGTCCATCCTGTAGCACCTTAATGACTGACAGATTTATCTGGGCATAAGCTTTTGTGGGTCAAAACCTCTTCGTCTGATGCATCCATTCGTCCAATGAAGCGGTATTGACCTAAGAAAGCTTATGCCCAAATAAATCTGTTAGTCTTTAAGGTGCCACAGGACTTCCTGTTGAAAAAGCAGAGAATAAAACAAATGGTGCAGGATTGAGCTAAAGTAGTGATTCTATTAGAAAGCTCACAATACTTTTTATCCAGAATGGGTAGGAATCATGTCCCTCACCTGTGTATGTGTCAGGTGCTGGAAATGGATGACAGGAGAGGGATCACTTGATGATTACCTTCCTGTTCACTTCCTTTCTGGGGCATCTGGCATTGGCCACTGTTAGAAAACAGGATACTGAGCTAGATGGACCTTTCATCTGACCCAGTATGGCCATTTTTATGTTCTAAGCTCGTAAATCCAGTCTGTCTTATAGCTGTCCTTCACTTTCTAGAGCTGTCAGTATAACACCTTCCATGAGCATTACATACATTTCCAAAGCATATGACTGAATTTTCCCAAGCAGTGTTTCAAATTTAAGAGTCTAGTCTTCTTCAGTATAGAACTTCCATTAAGATTAAAGTGTATGTTCTTCCATTCACAACAAAATGGACCCCTTACGAAAGAAAAGGCATCCACATTTTAAAATGAAGACTCATCTATATTGTTGAAGCTGAATGACCCTTGCAACATTACTGTCTGCATTACATTATTTACAGCTATGCCACTCCAGAATTTCTGGTGAAGGTGTTCCAAGTTCTCTGTCAGCTTAAATGCACCTGCCTTCACACTTAAGTAGATATAATTTAAATCAGTTGGGGATGTGGACTGTTTACACCCCTGAGCGATGTAAGTTATACCAAAGTAATGTATAGTGTAGCCATAGCCTTAATATTCCTTTATTTTCTCCCAAAATTATTTTCAAATAAGCCCAAGAGCATCCAGCTAAACAGAACAATTTCCTACACCTTCTCTGAATATGCTACTACAATCTGTTTTGATCAAAATTTCATTTGTTTTTAAGCTCAATTTTGTCTAATTTTAAAACAGACTCAACAGAAGCTTTGCAATTGTAGAATAATGTGCTATGGAAATCATTTTCTCCTTAATCAACACATCTTTGATAATAAGTATAAAAATGTTAACAGTACACAATAGCTGAAAGGAACTAGACCAATGACAGGTAGCCGGCAGTTCACTGGGGTTTTGTGTGTGGCTCATGAGACATTTTGTTTATCATTGCCTACACACAGGGTTGCCAGATTCTGCTGGTTTTCCTCTGCATAGTTTTTCTCCCATCTGGTATTACAAAAGTGACATGCACTTAAAGCAAGGGCACATGAAGTGTGTATGTGCTGACTGTGAGAACCATGTACTCCCTTGCATCCAATGAAAGTGCTGCTACAGTTCAATCAGCATACCCCACAAATTATAGGTACTCACGTGCAGTTAGCAAAATCACTTATCCCAGCAGACAATTATGGTTACGACGATCTTGCAGCCCACTGAGATGAAGAAGGGCCTCTCACTAACCTAGGTTACTCCTTATTGAGCAAGGGCCTAAATTTGCTTTCCAAGCTGGCATTTATCATTGCTTACCCCATAACTTCAGTAACTACACTTTAAAAACAGCATATGTGAACTGGAAGATTGCACACAACATTGCAATTGCATTGTGATGGACCTGATAGTTTGAGAGAAGTGTTACATTCATCTTTGAATTATAGTGAACTTCAATTGGTTCATAAAACTGTAACATCATCAACTTAACAATGCAAAAATTATGGAACATACTATTAAGAATTAATTAAAACACAGTAAACATGAATGATATAAATCAGACACATTATGATTTTTTTTTCCCGATTGATCCACTTAAACAGCTGGATGTCCCATGAAAAACATTCATCAGTATCTGATCTCTGTTGCATCAGTTTCAGTCTACAGTTTAGCCACTGAAAAAATTAGAATTACTCAAGTTTTGTCACTTCATTTAGAAAAAATGTCCTTGGTTATGAAATTTGCCTTTTCAAATTATTTCCCAGGATATGTGCATGAAAACCGTCTTTACCAAAAGTACACTTCTGAAACTAATGCTTATTTCTACCAGAAATCACTGGCAATTTAATAATCATTTATAAAGTTGACATGGTGATAAGCACTCTCAATCATATTTATTTAAATTATAAAATCAGCTTGGGACTTAGTTCTCTGTTAATACCATTCATCTTTACTACTTCAGCTTTTCTTATACCAGGCAAACTGTACAGATCCATATATGCGAAACACCTATGACTGAAAAAATACTTACCGAATTGTAGTAGAATCCAGTGCTATGATCATAATACAATCCAGTAGTCTCATCATAAATAAATCCAGTCTGCGATACAGCAGCTTCTGCAGCTGCTCTCAAGCTTTCTGCTAATGTACCTTCTGCTAATGAAGTATCTTCTGCTTCCTAAGATTAAATTAAAAAAATAAGATTCTTGATATAAGAAAGATCAGCTTTTATTACTCCAAATAAATAAATAATTTTAATAAATTGATAACAATCTTGTGCCTTGGGATCTGGATGGCTCAGGGGATTGTTAATGAAGAAAAAGAGGTTGAAAAGCTGTCTGTACTTTTGTCAATACTCCTACTGACATCAACTGGACCAGGAATTCACCCAAAGCATTTAATTTTTCATTAATCAATTCAAAAGTTACTCAGGTCACTGACAGGAGTGAAGATATTCTCAGTAATCCCATCTATTTGGCTTCAGTAACCTTTATGAAATAATTTTTGGTTCTAGTTCAGTTTACTGTTTAAGTACTAGATTGCAAAACCAGCACCACAACTGAGATAGTACATTTGCAGGTACCACCCCCACCATTCCCATTCCCATTGGCCATGGTTCCCAGCCAACGTAAGTGATTAAGGTGGAGCTTGTAAGCAAGTACAAGGACAGAGCTTTCCTGCGCTGCCATGCTGAGCTGCTTCCTCCTCCCTGCCAGGTAGAGCCTGCGAACCAGATGAGGCATGTGGCTTGCCTTGATCTGGCCCGTAAGGCTTGGGGCTCCTATCCCCACAGCAGGGAGCCAGCACTGGCACTCAGACATTTAGCGGGCACTGAGACTTAGGGATTCACCGCATGGCTGGAGCACCAGCACCAGGTTGCCCCACTGCAGAAGGGAGAAGCCTTGCAGGCCAGCTCAAGGCAAGCCACGGGACAGATCTGACCCGAGGACAATAGGTTTCCCATCCCTGGCCTTGATCCATCCTCTTTAGAACCCTCTCCCTTCAGGTAGTTTAAGGATTCTATTAAATCCCCCCTCACTTGTCTCTTCCGCCAACTAAATAAGCCCAGTTCCCTCAGCCTCTCCTCACAAGTCATACACCCTAGCCCCCTAAACATTTTCACTGACCTCCACTAGGCTCTCCAATTTGTCCACATCCTTTCTGTAGTGGAGGGCCCAAAACTGACACACATAACAAATTCGTTGCACTCAGAGGCAGGAAAATTAGAAGGAAAGACTGATACCTAACCCTACCCTCCAGCATATCTACCTCTTACCCCAAGTACTGTATTGTATGATAACCATCTATAACACCTCCTGTTGTATGAGCATCTTTTATTAAAACTTTCCTAGATCATTAGCAATTTATAAATGTATCCTTCATAGAAAGTGACCATAAACTCTAAAATATAAACATCAAAGTCACGGGTTTGAGTCCACCCTCTGCTGGCACCCAGGCTCTTAATCCCCTCTTCTATTGATGGATGAAGTTCCTTTTTCCTAAACCTTTACAAATTTTAGCTCTTCAGCTTCCAGCATACACATAATGCTATGGTCTGCTTTCTCAAGCATACAAAAATATAATCATATCACTAACCTTTTCTAAAACTCCTTCACTGTTCCCCATTCATTTCAGGATTCATTTAAAAATGAACTGCTTTAATTGTGTAAACTAGTTGTAGCCTACTTGCAATGCTATGGTAAGAAGAACAGTATGAATTCTTTGGCCATGCATATACTAGTACTTATGTTGGCAAAATGTTTGTTGCCTGGGGATGTGGGGAAAAAAACCCTACCCCATGTGACATAAGTTTTCCTGGCATAAGCCATGTGTCCCACTGATATAGTTATTGCCGTTCATTGAGCTGGTCTTACTATGTTGATGGCAAAGCTCTTTCCCATTGTCATAACATGGCTACACAAATGATCTTATAGCAGCACAGCTGTATTAATACTATACTTTTTCTTTCCCCACACATCTGGAGTTTCTTCTCATGCATACCTTCAGTGCAGTACCTGCGAGCTTAAATTCCATGCCCACTACTGCATAACTCTCCAGCTGTACCTCCACCCCACCTGCACATGTATTGCAAATACTTCTGGCTGGGCTACCTTTTATGCTCCTATACCAGGCCAGGGCTATTTTACTTATTTTACATGCACATATACACACACTTTTAAACTGCTCTTTAAAAAAAAAAATGTGGTTCCAGCTTCATAGAGATGGCCAAATCAGCAGACTGCTATGCCTAGAGGACACATGGTTATGTAATGCCTTTTTAAAAAAAGCAAAACAAATTAGAAATACTGTTGGGTACTTATAGTTCCACATAATGCAGATTAAAATAGCATCTTCTGTGCAAAAACATACTGCAATTACAGCTCCTAATCTAAATTTTATGCATCTTAAATTTTCTTGTTTAAAACATGCATACACCTCTTCAACCTAGCCACTGATCCTGCACCCAGATCCTCATTGGTGGACCCGATCACAGAACTGGCACCCTAGAGTTATTGCACAAAAGAGAAAAGTTTGTGAACAATCTTTGTACTGGATCACTGAAACAGCCATCTCATACAATAATAATGGAACTGAAGCTGGACTTTCAAACTCATCGATATGCTGACAGATTAAGGACGCCCAAAAGTATTTCAAAAACATATAGTTCTACTACCTGTAAATTCTCGATTAAGTTATCCCCTTGTCCACATTCAGCAAGTTCTGTGCTACTCATGTATGAATCAATATCAGCACCTGCCTGAGCCTGCTCTGAAGAAGAATTAGGATCAAGACCTTCATTCTCATGGTTCTGCTGCACTGATAGTTCAGATGTGTTATCTCGATGGTCAATGTTGTTACAATAATTCTGATAATAGTAATAATCTGTAAAAAAGTAAAGATTTCAAAAATTAGCAATTTAGTAACATTTTACACAAATTAACCTGAGGGACCTAATGCATGTGCTTTACTTTTCATGGGTAGACAGTAGGAATGTAAAAAGTAGTTTAAAATGTAACCGTGTGATTGCTAAACAAATCCTGGCAGTTACACGCACTGTGGGCTCTACAGTATAAAACTTACATATAAAGCTTTATACTGCAGAGCCACAGTACAGCCTCCCTGGGGTGCCAGCGTGTAACAACCTGCCAAGGGGGAGGAGGGATGTACAGGCTGATCCTGCCACAGACAGGGACTGCTCTGGTTGGAGCAGCCCTCGTGTGCAGTGAGTCCTGAGGGACTAGAGGAATCCTCTGCCTGGGGCAGGTGGGCAGCAACTCCAGCCCCTACCAGAAACCAGAACCACTAAGCCTCACCCCTATTATTTATTCTATTATGCTAGTTTCTGGGGACTTCCATTAAAGATCAGCATCTCATTGTGCAAAGCACTGCATAGACAAGTCAAACAAAAGAGACACTCACAAAAAAACCAAAAAGTAACGGGTTCCTTGTCCTGGAAGCTCACAATCTAGAAATCAGATAGCATATAAGTGGATGGAACCAAAGGGACTGGGATGATAATAAAATGAACTGTGTTTAGTAGAAAAGCTTCAAGTATAAGCTTATTATAATTGGAGTTCCTCAGTCCATCTGCCCAAGTTCTCTATGACTAGAAATATTGACCCTTGCAATATCCCAGATATTTAACACATCTCTTTCCCAAAACTTCACCTCAAGGTGTGAAGTTTACAGTTTAATTCTCTCAGGGGCATGCAGGTAGTTGTATAGGAGTCAGTATGTACTTTGTACAGTCTAACTCCTTTACACTTAGTGCTGTAAAGCACAGAAGAGTACAGTGTATACCAAATAAATAGTAAATGCATATCCCTGCCTCAGTTTCTTCACCACCAGAGAAATCTTTAGGCTATGGTGTGAGTCTCTTGGGCCATCCAGACCCTGGAAAGGAGACAGGGTCCTCCTTCCTCGTAAGACTTCTATTTGCTGGGTGACTTTTCCCTTCTGGACTTGACAAAATGGACCCTTGAGCAGACCAGTTTCTGCCCTTTTAAAGCCTTCAGCTCCATGTACATTGACTCCATTGCCAACTTCCTCACATGAGCATAAGCCTCCACCATGTGACTTACCTAGACCTCCCACCATTAAATCAGTTCTCCTGCAGAGGTTTTTTTAGCAGATCAGCAACTGCTGATTTATTGGTAAACTACAGCTTTTCTTTTGCCACCAGTCTTTTAAATGCCAACCCAGCACAGAGGCAAACAGAACTTGGAGAAAGACAAAAGGCTGCAGTCTTATAGACACATTGGATTCACAATCCCACACAGAGTTCAAAAATTGTAGAAACATATTCCCAGTTTCTCATAAGTAGCTTTCAAAATTTTGAAGAGCTACCTTTTTATGCATGCATAGAGGGCAGCATGGTTGCTTGAGGGTGAAGCAGACAAGCGACAACTGAAACTATATCATCCCCAGCAGTACAAAGCCCATGTCAACAGTTTGATTTCACAGCAGGGCTTAATAGTGAAAGGTCTTAAAGGCAATTACAAGAAGCTGTGTTTGATGCAGGAGAGGAAGGGAAGCTGCGTGTGCATCTAAAATAAGCTTCAAATTAATAAGAAATGGAAAAGAATTTTTTTACATGGCTAGTTAAGTCAATGAACTAATTTAACTAATGAATGAAATTGC